TTCCCTTCAAGGCTCAGGGGTCCAAGATTATCTTCTGTGTCTGTGTTAATTGGTTTCCCTTTTCTTTGTTGAAGAGGGTCTATGCAGTCCTTCTGCCTAGTCCGCCATCTTACCGGCACTCTCTTGGTCTTGTTTTGACTGATGATATTGAGCTTCTCCATCACCTCTTTCCACAGATGTAGTCGATTTGATTCCTGTGAATTCCATCTGGTGAGGTCCACATATATGGTCACCAATTATGTTGTTCAAAAAAGATATTTGCAATGAGTAAATCATTGGTCTTGCAAAAATCTATCATGAGATCTCTGGTGCCATTTCTATCACCAAGTTCATATTTTCTAACTACCAATGGTGGTTCTTTGTTCCCCACTTTCACCTTCTGATCACCAGTAACTATCAATGCATCTTGATTGCATGTTTGGTCAACTTCAAACTGCAGAAGTTGGTAAAAATTTTTAATTTCTTCATCTTTTGCTTTAGTGGTTGGTTTATAAATTTGAATAATAGTGGTATGAACTGGTCTTCCTTGTAGGCATATAGATATTGTCCTATCACTGACAACATTGTACTTCAGCATAGATCTTGAAATGTTCTTTTTGACAATGAATGCGACACCACTCCTCTTCAATTTGTCATCCCTGGCATAGTAGATTATATAATTGTCTGATTCAAAATAGCCAGTACCAGTCCATTTCAGTAATGCCTAGGATGTTGATCTTTATGTGTTCCATTTCCTTTCTGACAACTTCCAATTTTCCTAGATTCATACTTCATACATTCCATGTTCTGATTATTAATGAATGTTTGCAGCTCTTTCATTCCATTTTGAGGTGTGCCCATCAGCAAATGTAGGTCCCCAAAGCTTTACTCCATCCACATCATTAAGGTCAACTCTACTTTGTAGAGGGACCCCTTCTCCAGTTGTATTTTTAGTGTCTTCCAACTAAGGGGCTTATCTTCCTATACTATATCAGAAAATGTTTCAGGGCAATTCATAAAGTTTTCCAGTAATATATCAGACAGTGTTTCACTGCCATTGATAAGGTTTTTAATGGCCAGTTTTTTTTTTTTGTTTTTTTTTTTTTAAGTGAATGGCCCCATCCTTCTTCCCAATCTGTTTTAGTCTGGAAGCTCTGCTGAAACCTGTCTGGTAATCCTGCTGGTATTTGAAATTCTGGTGGCATAGCTTCCAGTCTCACAGCAACACACAATCTACCACAGTATAACAAACTCACAGATGGGTGGTGCATTATATCATTAGTTTTATATATGTGTGTGTGTGTATAATTTATATTATTGTTTCTTTATTTTTTAAAAATTCAGTTAGCCATCTGTCAGTTACAATGGTTAGAGCATTTACTTCTAAAGTAACTATTGAAACTGGATTTAAATCAACCATATTGCTATTTATTGTTTATTTTACCCATCTGTTCTTTATTCTCTTATTATTACTTTATTCTTTCTTTAGGAATACTTAAGTATTTTTATTATTCCATTTCCACCTATATTAATTTATTAATTAAAGCATTTTATTATTTAATTGAATTTTAGCATTTGTTTCTAGGTCAAACCAAACCAAACCCCACTATCATTAAGTCGATTCTGATTCATAGCGTCCCTATATGATAAAGTAGAACTGTTCCATAGGGTTTCCAAGGCTGTAAAGCTTTACAGAAGTAGACAGCCTCATCTTTCTCCCACAGAGCAGCTGGTGGGTTCGAATCACCAACCTTTTAGTTAGCAGCTGAATGTCTTAACAACTGCACCATGTTGTTGTCTTTGTTATGTGCCATCCAGTCAGACCCGACTTATAGTGACCCCTCCTTGGGTTTCTGAGGCAGTGTCACTACGGAAGTAGATTGCCCCATCTTCCTTCCCAGGAGTGGCTGGTGGGTTTGAACCGCCAGCCTTCTGGTTAGCAGTCAAGTGCCTTAGCCACTATGCTACCAGAGCTCCCAAAGAGACGGCCTGGCTACCTGGCAGGGAGCGGCCGTGGGTGTGGCAGCTGACTGCCCGAGGCCCTGAGGCCATCCCCGGGGCCAACTGCACATCAGACTCCTTTTTTCTAGGTCAGAATATGAGAATTCATTATGGCCATATGAGTTATCACAATCGGCCTCTCTTCACTGCAATAGTTTGGTTTAATTGCTGAGTAAGGGTAAATACAAATTGAAAAAAGAAAATTTCCTGCCACAAAAAGGGAAAAATATACCTCCTTCTTTTCTTTCCTTTTTGAACATTTTATTGTGCGTTAGATGAAAGTTTATGTAACAAATTAGTTTTCCCAGTCAGTAGTTCATACATAAATTGTTTTGTGGCAATGCTTGCAATCCCCTCAATGTATCAGAACTCTTCCCATTTCCTCCCTGGGTTTCCTGTTTCTTTTCATCTGGTTTCTCTATTTATTCTTCCCTGTCTTCTCACTTCTGGTTTTAAGCAAATGTTGCCCTGTTGATCTCCTATCATTGATTGTTCCGAGGAGCACGTTTTTCATGTTGTTTGTTTTATAGTCCTATCGATTATTTGGCTGGAAGGTGGCCTTTGGAAGTGTTTTCAGTTTCAAGTTAGGTTTTCTCACAGCAATAGCCTCTGGGTTCCTCTACTCTCTTTCCTACCACTAAATCTGGTCTTTTTGTTTGTTTGTTTTATTTTTTCACTTTGAATTTTGTTCTACATTTCTTTTCACCCATTCTAAGAGGAACCTTCTATCGTGGTCTTGGTCAGAATAGTCAGTAGTAGTAGGCAGGCAACATCTAGTAATCCTGGTCGCAAGTTAGAGGAGGCTGTGGTTCATGTGGGCCATTAGTCCTTTGGCCTAATTGTCTCCTTGAATTTTCGCTTTTCTTTATTCGCCTGTGCTTCAGGCAGGAAGAGACGGATAGTTGCTTCTTAGATGGCCACTTGTGAGCTTTTGAGACTTCAGATGCCACTCACCAGACTAAGATGTACAATATTATCTTTATGAATTGTGTTTTGTAATTAACTTAGGTGTCCCTGAGGCTATTCCTGCATTCACCTTTAAATTTCTTTTCAATTATCATCTGGTTATTACCCTAGACTCTGTGATTACAAAATGCGCTTTTAATTTAGTACAATCTACTTTGGATAAGTACTTTTATGATTTTCCCCCAAAATAAGGACCTTGTGGTAATTTAATTCTATTTATCTGCTTCACATATTTGTACTCTTTTCATATATTTAACTTTTTCCATATGTTATGAATTCCATAAGACATTTTTTTTTAATTAGCTTCAGTATTAATTTCTATTTACCTGCAAATTCACCCTTTCTGGTGTTGTTTTCCTTCCTATAGTTCTGTGCAGCCAGCAGGGATCATTTTTCTTTACCCTGAAACATTGCCTGTTGTGTTTCTTATGGTTCAGTTCTTCTTCCATCAGTGAATTTTTTCTTGAAACCATGTGTATTTTATCACCATCTTTGGAGGATATTTTCACTGAGTATAGAATTCTGGGTAGACATTATTTTTTTGTTTCAGCATTTTAAGATATCATCCAGTTATCTTCTGTCTTTTATAGTTTCTGTTGAAATGTCAGCCTTTGGTGTCACTGTTGTACCTTTGAATTAAAAGGTACTTTTAATTATTAGCAATTTAACTATGATATGGCCTAGTGTGGCTTTCTTTGTATTTATCCTGCTTGGAATTTCAGTTTACTGAATCTGTCAATTGATGTCTTTCATCAGGTGTGGAAAATTCTTAGCAATTCTTTTTTAAAATATTATTTCTGTCCCATTCTATTGCTACTGTTACTCTAGGGCTGCAGTTATAGGTATGTTAGCCCTTTTGAGTGTGTTCTACGTGTTTCTAATTCTTTAATTAAATTGTTATTAAGATAACTTGGATAACTCGCATAATCTCTTTTGACCTGTAATTCTTAGGCAGAAGAGGACATAAGAAAAATGGAATTAAGACTGAAATATTACCAGCGTAGTTTTAGGGTAGATGAGCCTTCGTGGCACAGTGGTTAAAGTGCTCGTTTGCTAACTGAAAGTTTGACAGTTGGATGCCACCAGCCACTCTGCAGGAGAAAGATCTTGTCGTCTGCTTCCATAAAGATTTACAGCCTTGGAAACTCTATGGGGCAGTTTTATTTCTAGGTGTTTATCTCTGTAGAGATAGATTGTCCAGTCTTCCTTCTGAGGAGTGGCTGGTGGCTTTGAACTGCCAGCTTTCTGGTTAGCAGTCAAATGCCTTAGGCACTACACCACCAGAGCTCCTGTTTTTTTTTTTTTAATAGGGTCACTATGAATTGGAATCAACTCGATGGCAGTGGGTTTTTGGGTAGGGAAACTACCACAGGTCTTAATACTGGATTGTTTTTCTCTCTATTTTTCTGCCATTTTTAGTCTCTCTCAACAAGCAGGTAACTAGACAGCTGTTTTCATAAGCAATACATTTGGACTTCAGACATATATTTAAGATATTTTAAATGGGGGTTTGTTTCTTATTTTTTAATTGGAGTCTTAAAATTGGTTGAGTGGCTTCATGATATTGTTATTATTGACATCTTACACAGGGTACATCTGGTTGAAAGGGAAAAGGGAGTATAGAGCAGAACTTTTGGAAAGAAAGTAAGTGCCAGCAGATGCACTCCTTACATGAATATGAAAGAACAGGAAGATTCCATGGATATTTTCATGGTGAATGTGAGAACAAGTTTGGATTCATTTGTGAAGAAACAGGATTTTTATTACCTTCTGTTACTCCAGGAAATAATTGGAAAATAATCGAGTAATTTGTTGGTTGTCTTCTTAACGGAGGATCGTAAGACAGTATGGCTGATTGGGAAGCCTTTTTGATGTATGGAGATAAGGTGCAAAAAGGGTCCGAAGGTCTTGGTGATACTAAAGAAAAAGTGTAGAGGGGAATGGGGCTGTGACAGAGGTGAGAGGAGAGAAGATGGTGAAATATTGTTTTAAATGGGGATTAGTTTTTGCTGATGATAAAATCTGGGTTTAGGAATCTAGTGTGAGTGGTTGAAGAAGGCTGTAGGTGAAAGTCTGACACAGGAATCACAAAGCTAATTGTTAGATGGGCATCTACATTGGCCATTGAGATTTAGGACACAGCATGGGTTTAGAAGAAGAGGTGAGGCTGGTCACGGTAGACAGCCATTCATAGGATGAATAGAAGATTTTATGGTGTCCTGGTGGAGGAGGATGGGAGACAGAGTGAAAGTTTGTTTCAAAATTGCTAGACTTAGATAGTTTGTATAACAGTATAATGATTGTATAATAAAATAATATAGTATAATGTAATCTGACTGTAAAACAATGTCCTGAATGATCCAATTCATGTGTGGGGTTTCGTAACAAGAATTCAGCAACTGCTTTCAAAATGATTAAAAGTAATTCCAATCTTTATTTGCCTCTGTCAAGCGGTTCACAGTAATGCTTTACATTTTTTTCACTTCCCTTAAAAATTTCTCACATCTCTTTAAAACTCTCCGAGATCCAGAGCCCAGGCAGCTCTGAAATTTGCTTCACCTTCTCTTTCAGTCTGCCTCTTTTTTCTAGGTGTTTATTGATGCAAATACATCATGACTTCAACAATTCTAGCTCTGCTTCTGTTTCCTATTCACATGGGGAAAAGCCCAGAAACTTCATTTGCTTACTCAGCTCCAGACTTGAAGATGACAAGAAGATGGAAAGAAGGCTTGGTCGAATTTATAAAGTAAATTTTTGTTTTGTGGGAGGTGGAGCAAAAGGAGAATTACAAGCATTATCTCCATCTACCCCCCACCCCCGTCATATTTGCAATGGAAGTAGGATGGTTACAGGGGGCACAAGGGAAAGGTTAGGGAAAATGTAAAGAATTTGTGTGACGAGGACTAGAAGGGAGTACAAAGATAGGACATCTTGGATGATGCAATTGGGGCAGAAGAAACTCTTGTCTTTTAAGTATGATAATGGTGGTTAAAGTGATTCTAAGGTTCTGATATATTTTGAAATTTAAGACAACAAATGTTTCTTTTTTTAAAAAAATGTTATTTTGATTAATATAGTTATTTCCGTTTTCTTTTGATTAGTGTCAGCATGTCCCTCCATTCATTTACTTTTAATTTGTGTTTTTATATTTAAGGTGGGGGTTTTGTAGTATGTTTGTAGTTGAGTCTTTCTTTTATATTCAGTCTGATAATCTCTGTCTTTTAACTACCATACTCAGACCATTTACATTTAGCATGATTTTTCTTATATTGTGTTATCTCTTTAGTGGTTTTTTTTTTTTTTTGGTCATCTATTACAGTTTCTCAGCCTTTCTTTCATGATATAGACATTTTTTTTTTAAAAAAGTAAAGGCCAGTTGTTTTTAGAATGTCCCTTAGTTTGAGTTTGTCTGATCTTGTTTCCTCATGATTAGATTCAGGTTATGCATTTTTAGATGGCACACTACATAAAGGATGTTTTGTCCTTTGCAAGGTATCATACGCAGAAGTGCAAGATGTCCTTTTTTCTTTTTTTGAAATTTTGATTGTGGTTTATGTGAAAGAGACATAGTAAATTAGGTTTCCATTCAATAGTTCATATACAAATTGTTCATGACATTAGTTGCAACCCCCTCAATGTGTCAGTGCACTCCATGTCCCCCCTGGGTTCCCCATTTCATCTGGTCATAATATCCTTTGGACCCTTATTGGTGATGCAAAGTTTGATTACTTGGTTACGATGTCAGATTCCTCAAATGTATAGTTATTTCAATTAGTGAGTAATTTATGGAGAGAAACTTTTGATAGTATGTAAATATTCGGTGTCTCATCAACTTTCCCCCATGTATTTAGCATCCATTGATTTAGGCTTTCTTGCCTAAATCAAGTTACGTTGTCATGGTTGCAAAGTTGTGATTTCCTAAGTAGATAATTTTTTCTCTATTATTGGCATTTTACCATAAAAAAGAGGTTTCCTTTCTCCCCCACTTATTTATTTTTGCAGATATCTATCATGGATATATAGACTGTGCTACTGAATGGGCTATAACCCATTACTATTATTATTTTCCGGAGCTCTGGTGGCATAATGCCTAAGGCATTTGACTGCTAACCAGAAGGCTGGCGGTTCAAACCCACCAGCCACTCCTCGGAAGGAAGGTTGGGCAATATATTTCCATAGTGATACTGCCTCAGAAACCCAAAGAGGGGTCGCTATAAGTTGGATCCGATTCACAATAGTGCATTGAATTTTGTTGCATTATTATTATTTCCATAGTATTTAAATTTTCAGATTTGTCTAGGGGAACCCTTCTTTGTCCTTTTGACTGGCCTCCATCATTTTTTGAGCATTTCCTCTTTTTTGCCACAAAATGTTCTAGACTTATCTTGTACCATCTTTGCCCCAACTCTGGAACATATTATTTCTCTAAGGAGTCCTGGTGCTTTTTAGTGAGGATTGGTTTTATAACCAAGATCTGGGAGCTATGTGTGCTCATTGTTACTAGGATGTCATTGCTTCAAGATGTTTTCAACATATAGCACTTGGAAATAAAAATGTACATGTCTGTATATATTATTTACTTATTTTCAGTTTATCATATTTTGCCTTTCATTTATTATTTTTATTGTGATGAGTGAAAATTTACAGAGAAAGTTCATTTTCCACACAGCAGTTCTTACACATTTTGTCTTCCCACTTCCTCCCCATAGTTACCTCTTGCCTGTGTCCTTCCCTCCCATGCACTGTCTTCCTGTGCAAGTGCTGCCCTTCTGTTCTCCCAAGATTGATTGCTCCAGGGAGTGTATCTACCTGATGTAAATGTTCAGTCTATATGCCTGTCTATTATTTGGCTGGAAGCCATAGGAGTGAGTTCAGTTCGAGACCTGAAGGTCAGCTAGTGGCCATAGTCTCAGGAGTCTCAGCAGCAGACCAGCAAACCTGGTCTTTTGTTTTGTTTTATGATTTTGAGCTTTGTTCCACATTGTTCTCCTAATCTATCCAGGATCTCCTATTTCAATCCCCCTCTGAAGGGTTGACAGTGGTAGGTGGGCACCATCTAGTTCTTCTGGTCTCATGGTCATGTAGGCTGAGGATTGTATGGTCTACCAGCCCCTTGGACTAATTGTTTCCATGCATCTTTGGTTTTCTTCATTCTTCTTTGCTCTGAACAAGGAGAGACCCATTGTTGCATCTAGATGGTCGCTTGCAAGCTTTTAAGACCCCAGTTGCTGCTCACCAAAGTAGGATGTAGAGCAATGTTTTTGTGTAGTATTTTATGCCAATTGAGCTTAATGTTCCCTGCGATCATGGTCCAGAACCCGCAGGTCCAACTACTTGCTCCCTTCAGGTAGCTGGCTGTGGCCGAGAAGTCACCACAACCTTGTCCCTTGCCAGATATATACCTGGACATTCTTACAGCACATACAAATGCATATATATTTTAGAAAAATAAATTTACACACTTTCTTCCATTCCAATCCAACCCACAATGTTATTTCTTCTCTCTCCCCCATTCTCTATTTGTATCTCCTTTCTTCCACAATGAGAACTCCAACTCCCAGTAGCATCAATATATTAATTTACCAAGAGCTCTGGTAGCATAGTGCGTAAGGCATTTGAGTGCTAACCAGAGGCTGGCTGTTTAAACCCACCAGCCACTCCTCGGAAGGAAAGCTGGGCAATCTACTTCTGTATTGATACCACCTCGGAAACCCAAGGAGGTGTCGCTAGGAGTCAGATCCGACTTGATGGCAGTGAGTTTAGTTTGGTTTAAGATAAACACAAAATAGTTTCAGAATTGCTACATCCATTGGCCATTTTGAATCAGACAACCATATGATCTACTATGCCGGGAATGACAGTTTGAAAAGGAATGGCGTGGCATTCATCATCACAAAGGATGT